AGACCAACAGAAACTACAGCCACCAAAATAAAATAAATAATAAAGATTAGAGCAGAAATAAATGAGATAGAAAACAGAAGTAGACAAAATAGATAATTGGGATATACTAAAAATTAAAAACTTACGTGCATCAAAAGACTTCACTAAAAGAGTAAAAAGGGAACCCACAGAATGAAAAAAGTTTTTTGCAATGACACATCAGAGAAGGTACTTATTTCTAAAAGAAATATAGGAAACTACAACATCTCTACAAGAAAAAGACAAATAACCTAATTTAAAAATGGGCGCTGGACATGAACAGACACTTCACCAAGGAGGAGATCCAGGCAGCCAACAAACATATGAAGAAATGTTCACGTTCTCTAGCCATCAGAGAGATGCAAATCAAAACAACAATGAGATTTGATCTCACACCAACATTAACAGCAAAGATAAAAGAAGTAGAGGACAAGAAATGCTGGTGAGAATGTGGAGAGACTGGGACCCTCCTATATTGTTGGTGGGATTGCAAAATGGTCCTACAACTCTGGAAAGCAATATGGTGCTTCCTCAGAAGGTTGGAAATAGAAATACCTTATGATCCAGCAATTCCTCTACTTGGTATTTACCCACAAGAAATAAGAGCCATAACACGAGTAGATATAGACACACCAATGTTCATAGCAGCACTATTTACAATAGCAAAAAGATGGAGACAGCCTAAGTGCCCATCAACTGAAGAATGGCTAAATTGTGGTACATATACACAATGGAAAACTATGCTATCTTGAAGAATAACAAGGAAGCTGCAAGCCACTGTATCACATGGATGAACCTTTAGGACATTAGGTTGCGTGAAATTAGTCAATCACAAAAGGAGAAATATTGCATAGGACCACTACTGTAAAAGACTAAGGAAAAGAATCCATACAAGAGGGGCGGAATTCATTGTTGGTTACCGGGAAGAGAAGGGTGGGGTGAGGGGAGGGAAAAGAAGGTGGTGCACAGGGTAGGGAATAGACACAGTTTGGGTGCTAGGGAGGAGGACAATACACAAGAAGGGAGAGGAGAATAGAAGAACAAAGAGAGTGGCAAAACAATTAGGCAGGTTTGCATGGGCTATGTGGGACAGAGGTAAATAATGATGTATATATGACCTTGGAATGACAGGACTCTGGGATCAGGGATTGAGACATGGTTGGAATGGGGAAAAGGGGGGAAATGATGTTAAGATGCTTGGCTGTCTTTTATATCTTGGTTTCCCTTGCATACCATTATAAAATAGACACTTGAGGGGGAGAGAAAGAATAGCCAGAAATATCACCATTGAAAGCTTGCAAGTCCGTCTTCTGCCTATAACTGATTGGAATATCTAAAATGGGGCTACAGTGTGCCCAACGAAGGAGGGTTCCTGCAGAACCTCTGCATTACATAAGGCCATAATTGAAATCCTGAACCCCATCCAGAATCTTCTGAGGTGGGATATTTCCACTTGAAAGGACAAGCAGACTAGCCCGGAGTGGCTAGAAGAACAGAAGATACTTCTTGAAAGAAAAACTGACAAGAAAAATACAAAACAATATAGGCTGTCTGACTGTTAACTACAGGCACAACCAAGTTGCTCACCCAGGAGACATCAAGGCAAGTAATCCTGTCCCCTCAGGGCAAACTCTCTTCTAAGACTAAGACCCAATGTTAATACACACTCTGATTGGTGACCACGTTTGTCACCGATAAAGGGAAGTGACAGAAAAACAATAATGAAGCTGCGAGCTAAGCCCTACAATGTTCAATGGACTCCTGTGAGCCCAGGTGAAGACCTGGTAGGCCAGCAGTGTGGCAAGACCTGGGGACTCTTGGGCCCAGAGTCAGTGACATAGCCACAGAGGACTAGAGTGGAGAGTGAAGCATCCAGCTGATAAGAAGAGAGGGCATATGCATAAGTACACCCACACTTGCAGATAATACCCACTTAACCTGGTTTCAATGACAGGATAATTAGAGCTCAGCTAGAAGAAGGAAGAAGAGGAATAAAGAGTAATCTGATACAATTTGGTGAACTTGACCTACACCTATGGATGCAGTAGCTCAAAAGAGGGAATAAATCTTTACAGCAAGGATCATTCCCACCCCTTCCATACACAGAGTAGACAGGGATGGGCAAGTTGTACATTGGCTATTGAAAATGGGGGGCAAGAAGTGACTGGCTTACAAGCTTTCAAGATGGAGCATAGATCAAGAGGGCTTGGAGAAAGGTAGAATCTCCACTGAGTAGTATCGAATCTGTTTAGGCAGAGCTGATGAAAGGAGGTGTGGATAGGTCACTTGTGATACAACAACAGTGAATAATTGTTATCAGGACTGATTGTGAGGGTTGGAAATGTAAAGGTAGATGTTTTGTAGCAAGGAGGGGTGTCATTGACTTTTCAGTCTAGGAGTGGAGGTCCCTGGGACCATCAAAGGAGAAGAGCAGAGAGCAGGCCCCTACCCAGAGAAGCAGTGACACCAGAGATGGAGGCAGATACAATGACGTGGAGAGATGGAGCGGTTGGGGACTTTAGACCCAGAGAGGGAGAGGGGCTGTGTGCTGATGACTGGGGGGCAGGCTTGGTTGGTTAATGATGCATGGAGGGGATCGCAACCATGGCAATGAAATGATATACGATAGGATGAATGTAAAGCTAATGTTCTCCCATGTAAACTATCACATAATTCACAGTAAAACATTAAAAAAACAAAATGAGGACTTAGGAAAGTATTTCATATGCATGTGCCAACAGATCAGAGGTTTCTGTCCAAGATATGTCTCATTTACGATAATCAGAAATCCAAAGCTATGATTCCTACCCAATAGAGAAAATCATCAGTTAGAATCTCCCTAATTACAACAAGAAAGTGTACTTTGTAACTTTGGCAAGAAACAAGGCAATCTTAAATTCACCAATATCAAGAATCATTGATTCCATCCAAGAAAGGAGAGGGTAATATATAAGAAGAGAGAAGGTGGCAGAATGAAGATAGGTGAAGACAAAGGGAGGTATGCATGGGCTAAATGGGATAGAGGAAAATAGTGATATACACACAACCCTGGAAAAACAATGTTCTGTGTAGACATATGGATAGAGGCACAGGCTGAATGGGTATGGGAGGAATAGTGGGAGTCATATATAGTTATAGATCACACAAATGCAAAAGCATTTGAAAGAGGATATTGGTACATGGATAACCACAGGGAAGAAGCAAGACAATTGTAGCACAGACAGCATTGCAATCACTGAAATGAAATAAAGTGTCTGTGTTGTTGAATGTAAAACTGATGATCTTGCTTGTAAACCTTCACTCAATTCACAATAGTTTTTTTTTTTAAAAAGAAATCACATGGCATATTGCATTGTTTAAATTTCCCGAAAAAAGACCTCTTTAAGCTTATGAAAAGCAAACATTTCCCTTTGATAACTAAAGTATGCTGGACCCCAATCAATCTCCTCATATGTGTGCAAAATGATAAATAGAACAAAAGAATTAATACATTTGAATTGTGGTGTTAGTGAGGAACTTTGAGTACAACGTCGACTGCCAGAGAATGATCAAATAATTAATTAGAAGAAACTAACCCTAAATGCTCCTTGGAATCTAGGGTGACAAAATTTCATCTTTACTACTTTGGACATGTCATCAGGAGAGTCCAATTGCTAGAAAAGGACAAAATGGTTGGTAAAATAGAGATTCACTGGAAACAATGAAATTCCTCAATGACATAATAGCCTCAAACACAGCAGAGATAATGACAGTGGTTCAGAACTAGGCAACTTTTCATTCTGCTATATGTAATGTCTCCATAAGTCAGAAATAACTTGGCAGCAACTAACAACAGACTACATCTAATTTATCATTTTTGTAGGACCTAGATCTTCAGGATTTTCAACCGAGAGCTTGAGTATTCTCTGAGTGCCTTCCATTTTTTGTGTATATCTAAACTCAGAGGCTTTGGATATATTTCTACTTTGCAGAGCTTGTGTCTTTACATCTTACTATTCTAACCTGTGCAAATTTAGAATCAAGTAAAAGGCTGTGGACCAAACATCAACAAAAAATTGTGTTTGAGGCATGTTTAATTTCTAATTCTGTCACTTTATCCATGTAAGATCCTCAAAATTTTGACCATTTTTCTGTATACCATCAATGCTTATCAACTGTTCTGGCCAAGACAAAAATTTTGAATTCTCACCTTTTCAAATGGTTTCTGGGGGCATGGAGTGTGGGGGTGAATCAATTCCTAATTTTCAGTTCACTACTACATCTTGAATTTTTATCTGAGATCAAAGTGTGTCCATGGGGGCTCTTTTCATGGTGTGTCATTTCTCCCCAACTTCATGGTATAGTGGTTAAATATCTGTATTTAAAAATTCTGGTTCACCCTTTAAACTAGAAAGAAAGTTTGGGAGGTGATGACAAATAAACTGGAACTTGTATGTATATAGATTTTGTCTCATATGTAGATTGGATGCTGATTGTGAAAAATAATCAAGAGTAGCTCTAAGGTTTTTGGTCAGTTAAATTCATGAAAAAATATTGCATATCAGTTTAGTGGTTTGACTTGGAAATGCATCAATGTAAAAGCAGGTTACTGACCAAGAAATTGAATATTTATAAATAAAAAATATATGAAATATACTTGCAAATTTGTATTTATACAATCACTGAAATGTAGAAGGTAAAGTACATACAGTGATTAATTCTATGGTATCTATGGTTTTGTTCTGCTCTACATATGGTCGCTATGAGTTGGAACTGGCTCGATGGCACCTAACAAAGGTAGTATGTGTATGGCAGAAAAAAGTACCTTCAATTTTTTTTAAGTATGTGAGTGATTTTGTATGATCTTATGCTTTTTTCTTTTTTGCTTCAGTTTTAATTTTGATAGATTTTATGAATATATTCAGAGTTATAAATGCATGCAATGTGTTAAATTAAAACCAAGTTCAATATTACAGAGATTTTTTTTTTTATTATTATTCCAGGTGCATCTTTTGGTTCGGCAGACTGTTTTAATGAAATTAATTCTAGGTCTGATAAAACTGGGAATTGTGGTTCAAGTGATGCCGGATACATACCTTGTGAACCTAAGTATGCTTCAATCAAAGAAATTTATAGGAAAACCTTTATTTACTGCCTAACACTTGAAAATATTATAAGACAATTAAGTTTATATGTAATCAACATATCACTTGACCATAAATTAAGTTCATACTTAATTTAATAATATATGTCATATAAATAGAAGGTCTATGTCCCTTTCTCATATATATCCAAATTGTATTTTGTACATTTGCTCAAAATATTAATTTAGCATATGTTGTAATTTCTGTTGTTAAGTGCCTTGGAATTGGTTCCTACTCATAGCTCCCTGTATAGGGTTTCTGAGGAACTGCTGTGAATTTCAGCCACCAAACTCCTGGTTAGCAGTCCAATGCTTATTCTACAGCATGGTAAGACTCCTTTTTTGCGTATAGTGGTGGTGGCTTACTGCTGTTCAGTTGATTACAACTCATAGCAACCCTGTAGAATTTGTTGCTATAAACCTTGCTGTTGTTGTTAGGTGCAATAGTGTCAGTTCCAACTCATACTGACCTTATGCTCAACAGAGCGAACCACTGCTTGATCAAACTCAAAAGCGTTAAGCTTGAGTTCACAGCTGCTGCCATTGTGCAATCCATCTCATTGGGAATCTACCTCTTTTGGTGGACCCTCCACTTTACCAAGCATGATGCCATTCTCCAGGGATTGGTCACTCTTGATAATATGTCTGAGGTATGAGTGAGAAGTCACATCATCCTGACTTCTAAGGAATATTTTGGCTGTACTGCTCCCAACAGAGATTTGTTGGTTCTTCTGGCAGTCCCTGGTACTTCAAATATTCTTCTCAAATACCATAACTCAAATGCATTAATTCTTCTAGGGTCTTCCTCATCTATTTTCCAATTTTCACATGCATATAAAACTAATGAAAACACAATGTTTTGGGTCACACAAACCTTAGCCCTCCAACTGACATTTTTGCTCTTGAACAATTTACAGAGGCCTTGCCTAATGCAATGCACCATTTGATTTCTTGACTACTGCTTCCATGAGTCTTAATAGTTGTTGTTGCTGTAAAGTGTCATGAAGTCAATTGCACTCACGGTGACCTTGTATGGGGTTTCCAAGGAGTGGCTGGTGAGCAGTTTAAACCAGCCTTGCAATACAGCACATTAGCCCACAGTACCACACCAGAATCTCAGTATTGTTAGTAATTCATGAAAAATGAACTTTTTGACAACTTCTATCATGTCTCCATCTATCATGATCTAATTTATTAGACAGCAGTGAAGACTTTTGTTTTCTTTACATTGAGATACAACTCATACCAAAAACTGTGTTTTTCTTTTAAATCTTCATCAGTAAATATTTGAAGTTCTCTGTTTTTAGCAGGAAAGGTTATATCATCTACATATAACAAGTTAATG